AAGTTACTTTCACTTACGCTTGCTCTTCACTCTGATATGTGTGTGCTTGCAGATTCTCTCTTTGTTTATTCTGACATGGCCACGCTCTTTCTCAGCATCCCTGGAACAAGAGTCAGACTCCCCTGCACTCTGAATAGGAACCTACTGTTGGTAGAGAAACATGTACTCGTACTAGCAGGACTTGTGTCTGAGTACTACTACTCAGACACAGAAACAGCTGGAGCCTGAGTTCTGCAGTTGAATTTCTGGAAACAAAGATGTCCCAAATAATGAGGTGTATTTGTAAATCTCTGGGCTCCAATTTGAGGACATGGCCAATTATTATTCTCATGTTTATGACACTAATACTCATGACAGTGAAATAACCAGATGAGCAAGTGAGAGAAGACCCTCACTTGTAGTGGGTTCAAGTTTATGGCACTTTACTGTGGCCCTAAATGTTTATAAAATGAGACACTAGAGTCTAGTTGACATTAGAGGCACACCATAATTCTCTCTCATTACATGATGCTCTTAGAAACTACACAAGTTACAAAAATTTATAATAATATTCAAAATAATAAAATTGTCAATTACCAATAGTAAACGGAGGTATGGCAAAGAAGTTGAAGCCCATCAAGGTGATAACCCATAATATCATTATAACTTAGTATATATCAAAATTTTATTTTAATTATAAATTATGCATAATTATATACAGGTAATAAAATTTCAGCAGTAATCATTGTCTATCCATCAGGATCTAGCAATTTTAATTGTAAATTTGACACTGAATTTTTAAAATTCATTGTCTTTAAAAGAATATCATTGAATTAAACACATAAGTATCCATGATGTATCTGCAGATTGACATGTAAGGGTTTGTTTTATTTTTATTTTATTTTTTTATTTTATTTTACTTTTTAAAACTCCTTAGTCATAGACTCATGTAAACTACCCATGTGAATAACATAATTCATATGTTCTGCTTCAAGTGGAAGCAGTAAAAAAATAAAAGTTTTCATGTCAAGTTTTCTCTCCCTGTATAAGATTTTTTCAAACTTGATTTCAAATTTCAATATTTCAAAGCTTTATACCATAATGTAAGATTAGTTTATTTTATTTTTATCATAATATCAAGCCAGCTTGAAAGAATAATCCGTCCTGAAAGTGCTTTTGGTTAGTAATCTTAGACTCTGCACTTGTGTTTAAATTAATGAAAAAGGGTTTATAATGATAGACTAATATCCTCACTGAAGTGGCTTATTCTTCTTATGAATAACAAGGGTATTCATGCATATAGACAGTAATCCATAAATTGGCTTTAGTGAATGGGTGACCTCATGCTAGCTGAGCATAAGTCATCATTATTTTTGATTTCTACATGACCTTAAGGCACTTGGATTCACAATGAACATACTGTTTTTGTATATGTTTATTTTCACTTCATTACCTTTGTGGAATATTCAAACCATTCAATAAATATGTAGCACCTTTCATTGCTACTTTAATATGCAAAGTCTAATGATAAATGAGATTTAGTGTTATTTCATGCTTCATTTTTACATTTTTATTTGTTGCTTAGATATACATGACTTTAGAGTCTGTTTAACATTTTATATACACATTGAGTGCAACCCATGGGAATTCTGATACCTTTCTTGTGGTTGAACATCGTGTGGGTTCCACTGGTCATTATATATGTTATATGTACATAAATGAACACAGAAAAGTTATGTCTGATTCATTCTGCTGTAATTCCTATTTTTATCCCCCTCCCTTCCCTTCATTATACGATTTATAATATGAAGTACTTCTATATTTGCCCTCCCTACTCTCCCTTGCTATTAGTTGGCAGCCACCAGATCAGAGAACACTCATATTTGGGCTTTTGAGGTTTGACTTATTTCATTTAGCATGATAGTCTCAAGTTTCATCCATTTGCCCACAAATGCCATAATTTAATTTCTCTTTATGACTGAGTAATATTCCATTTTGTATGTATACCACATTTTCTTTATTGATTCATCTGTTGAAGGGCATCTAGTTTGGTTCCATAGTTTAACTATTGTGAATTGAGCTGCTATAAACATTGTTGTGGCTGCATCCCAGTAGTATGTTAATTTTCAGTGCTTGTAGTATAAGCTGAGAGTGACTTAGCTGAGTCAAATGATGATTCCATTCCATGTTTTCTGATGAATCTCCATGTCTTTCAAGAGTGATTGCAACAATTTGTAGTTCCACTATCATATACTTATTTTCTATCTGCAATTTTCTTTCTGAAACATTGGTCATTTTATATAATTTGTTTCATGTTGCTGTATGTAAAGAGTTCAAATATCTGGATTCATTTTTGGAGATAAAAACTCTACATGTGCTGGTGGATTTGGCTACACTTATGAGGATGAGCAGAATTAAACTTCCTGATGTGCAGTGGTGATGATTTTTTTTTTTTTTTGATCTTGCTTTTTCTGAATTGAAGCGAAAGTGGAGCTTGTCTGTGGAAAGAAAGATTCTGCAGGACATTAACAGTCATTGCACTTCACATAGGTCTATGTAAACGTGAAGAAGTGAATTTTTATTAAAAGTACAGAAATTCACAAAGGGGCCAACAGTGCCTATTCCTAACAGGTAGGGAAAAGAAGGAGGGAAGGAGGAAACAAATAATGAGTAAAATCTAATGTATTAAACTTTTAAAAAAATTGAGTGATTTTACAGTGCACACAGTTCATTTATAACTTATTTAAATATAATCTATTAATCAGAAAGTATAAATTATATTTTATCTATATATGATTATTTTATAAAAGTAACCAGTATTAGATTCTACAATGTACACAAATTACCTTATCCCAGGAATAAATATAATTGCTTGATTTTAATTCTGTCTGTATTTAGTTACATATTGTGCTGGAGATAATAAGTACCAACTGACTATGAGGTGAGTTACGTTCCTAAGTATGGAAATTTTTAGGCCCTAGAATGACAATTGTTGCCTATCTTGGGTTCTAGAAGTGTCAAAATTATGAAAAAATATTCAACACCTCTAGCAGTTATAGAAAGGAAATGAAAACTATATTGAGATTCCATCTTACACCAATTACAATGGAAATTATTAAGAATACAAACAACAATAAATGTTGCCAAGGATGTGGGGAAAAAGTACACTCATACATTGCTGGTGGGACTGCTAATCGGTGCAATCACTCTGGAAAGCAATATAGAGATTCCTCACAAAACTTAGAAAGGAATCACCATTTATTCTGGTTAACCCACTCCTTGGTTTATACCCAAAGCTCTTAAAATTGGCATACAACAGTGATGCACCCACATCCATATTTATATCAGTTAAATTCACAAAAGCTAAAATAGAGAACCAACCTTGGAAATGATGCCTTTCAACAGATAAATGGATAAAGAAAATGTCATGTATACACACAATGGAATATTAGATAGCCACAAAGATCAATGAAATTATGGTATTTACCAGTGAATGATTGGAAATGGAGACTATCATGCTAAGTGAAAGAAGACAATCCTCCAAAAAAAAGGTTGGTGTTCTCTCTGAATAGTGGGCACTAACTCAAATAAAGGCAGGGCTTAAGGATGAATAGAAATACTTTGGATTTAGCTCCTCTCCAAGTACTAAATGATAGAACCTTTGGAACAAAGATTTGTATTGTGTATAATAAATTAGATGGTACCCTGCAAGCTAATAAAAACACAGACTTTATGTTCACTTGCTTAATTTTGATGTAAGAAGAATATATATCAAAGACACCATCTTACAGAGGGTAATGAAGGGAAGGGAAGAGGATTAGGAATAGGAGATATAGTAGAAAAAATCAGACATATGTCCCTATGTGCATATATAAATACATGGCCAATGTACTTCTATATCATATATACCCAAAAGAATGAGAAGTTATAATCCACATATATGTAATATGTCAAAATGCCATCTCTTGTTATCTATAACTAATAAGAACAATTAAAAAATAAAATAAAAGTTTATAAAAATTTAGAATATGATTTACTTCCTCAGGTGTAACCACAGGAAATACACTGTGAAATACATTGAAACCTATTGGTCAAATTTGAACAAAAGACTGATATTCATGTCCAGACCACTTCCATCCCTGCCATTGCCTACAACAGTGCATTCCATCCATGTCTGAAAACACTCATGAGTCCTGCTGTCTGAGTCCTTTCAGGATCTACAGTCCCTGTGGCATTCCATGGAGACAATGGTGGCTGTAGCTATTTGTGTGTGACAGACTCATAATCACCACTCTCAGTATTACTTGCTGACAATAGGGGTTACAAACATGTGAACTGAGAAAGCTTGAAAACATGCATAAAAGTGTCTTATAAATAGCATCAAAAAGCTATTCATAAGATTTTGTGACTGAGTTCCTCGCCAAGTACTAAATGATAGAACCTTTGGAACAAAGACTTGTATTGTGCATAATAAACTAGATGCTACCCTGCAAGCTAATAACACCAGATACTTTATGTTCACTTGCTTAATTTTGATGTAAGAAGAATATATATCAAAGACACCATCTTAGTCCTGTCCAGGAAAGAGTGAAGTGAAGTATGCATAAATTCACAATGTGGAGTCAGAGAAAAGCAAGAAGGCCATCTTGAGTAATGAGAAGGTCACAGAAGGTCTTACTGGCTTGGCCACTAGGCAGAGGCAGTGGGGATACAGTGGGAATGTAAAACTTTCTCAGGGGTTTCTGATCATAATGTCCTATGATGATGTGTAAGGGCTTGGACAATAGGGGGCACTGCAGACCAATTAAGATGGGTAAGGAAAGAACCAGAACAGTAAGGAGCCACCTGGCCTTGTCTGATGGTCTCTTGTTAGGCCTCACAGCTGTGAACTCCTAAACCAACCCAACTCCACCCTTCTATACCCACTTGGCATCTTTATGTAAAGGAGTCTGAACCAAGACCCAGGGTGCAATCAGAAAACACAGAGGTTTCTAATTTGCATAGATAGTCCTTCCCCTTCTCAGAGTATGAAAAGGGAAAGGGAGAGCCTTGGGGGAACCTCTGCTCAGCATCAGGAACAGAAGGCAGAGCTCAGGATGACCTTCACCATGGCCTGGTCCTGTCTCCTCTTCATATTCCTTTTTCAGTGCACAGGTGACTTAATATGGAGGAAGGATAGTGTGTGGAAGTCCTCTGATGTGGATCCTGATTCTACTCTTCTTTCCAGACAAAACTTATGCTCTCTGTGTTTCTCTTACTTCCAGGGTCCTGGGCACACTCAGTGCTGACTCAGCAGCCCTCAATATCTGGAACTCCAGGAGAGACAGTCACCATCTCCTGCATTGGAAGTAGCAACAATATTGGTAGCTATTATGTGAACTGGTACCAGCAGATCCCAGAAAGGGCCCCTAAACTCCTCATCTATGATAATAGTTATCGACCCTCAGGAGTCCCTGATCGCTTCTCTGGCTCCAGATCTGGCAACTCTGGTTCATTGATCATCACAAACATACGGCCTGAGGATGAGGGTGACTATTACTGTCAGTCTTATGACAGTAGCCTCAGTTATCACACAGTGTTCCAGGCTCATGGAGAAGTAAGACAAAAACCCCTTTACCATCTGTCAAGAGAGCAAACATATTGCAGCTTCAGTCACACCTGGTCTCTGGCTTTTTCTTCTACCACTATTATAGGGCCAGCTGAATATCCTAGCACTTCTTTGAGTGAGAAGCCTCTTGTCCTCTTTCCTCATAGTCATTCACAGCAGCATGTTCCTAGGAAAGTATCTTCAAAAAATAGAAATTCCTGCTACTCATTAGTTTTAGGAGCTGAACAGAATGTTGTAGTTCCTTTTCCTTGGAGTTCAGGTGCCAAGGCACCCAGTGCAACCCTGATCATCTCAGACTTGATCTATAATGGGAATCCTGTGGATCCCTCCTCCATTTTTTTCTATTTCCAGGAATTCTAAAACTTTGTCTTTTCCTTAGCCTTCATTATGTATATCTGTGATTCATGTTTCAGCCTAATTTTATATGTTTCCTAACATTCAGTATTTGACAGACAATAAAATGCACATAAGTAAAAACTTTAAGAGATTTTGAGATATTTTCACATATTTGGGAATATCAATGCACTCAGGCCAAGGAATCTGTATGCCAGCACACAAAGCTTTTGCCCTTTCAGAATCCTCCTTCCATCCCTGCTCAAAGAATCATCCAGGCAACCACTGGATTTCTTTCTTTGCATTTCTGTCAGGTTTCCTTTAATATAACTTTTATATCTGAAAACTCACAGCAGATATGCCTTCTTGAATGATTTCTTCCAGTCTATAATTCATTTTCAGACCCTTCCATATTGTTTTGAATTTCACATGATTATACTAAGGATTCAGTATGACTTTTGAGGTCCCTAAATATTTCTGTATGGATGGACACTTTGATCACTTTTGTATCAAAATTGTATTTTATAATTCCATTAGTGTAGAGAGCCATATAATATAATCCAGCCTTTATTGTGTTAATTGTATTATTGATATCCTGATCTAAGATCTTTCCTTCAAAAGTTGACGAAGTACAATTAAAAGCCCTTTCCTTTTGATATATGCTCACACTTCACTAGGCTCAACATCTCCTCAATGGGTCTGTGGATAGGCCTATCCAGACCCTTAATTTCCTCACATTGAAAAGTGTCTGTCCTAATTCAGTGATTGTGGTGGGACTGAGATAAAAAACAAGAGGGCTGACATGTAACACTCCCAGGGAGTTACTTGGAAGCAGAAGAGTACTGGGAGGACAAGGATCTTGTCCTGTGTGCTTGGGGTCAGAGAGATTGGAGCATGTCTGTAATATTACCACAATCTCTACAAAGACCTCTCTCTCTCTAACTGCAGCACATTTCATACAGCCCATTTGATGACATGAATACTCTTAAAAAATTGTGGAATATCCATATGCTGGTAACAAGAAATGACACATCAGGGAGGTTAAGGACAGGGACAGTTGTTGAAGGTGCATATTTCCAGCTGTGTCCAGGACTATGGCACCCATAAGAAAATATTCAAAGGCACCTTAGTACACATCCTTCCTTGGAGAGTCCAAATCAGGCTTTTGAATTTCAGTGAGTTAAATAATAAATGAGTGCCTTTAACATTTCCCTCTTACACTCAGCTGATATTCTCAGTGTTCATAACCAATATCTTGGAAACAACACATTTTCCAAGGAGATGTGCTAGGACATCTAAGGGGAATGGTGAACATGGCCAGATCTGGATCTGGGAAACTTTCCCTTGGAAAAATGTTTATTTGGGTAGCTTTAAACTAAGAGAGAAAAAGTTTTAAAAATATCTAGGATTTCTGAGGGCCACCCTATTTGCTATGCTGATGTACACTCTCTCACTTTAAAATCTATGGAAAGGAATTCAAGAGACATACACAGGAGCCCAGATTGTCATTTGCAAATTTGGGGAACAATAATCAGATGTTTGAACAATCAAAAAAGAAAGAGGGTGATTACCATGAGGTTTCCAGGGTGAGAGGGCAACAGACTGCATCCAGAGCTTCCTCTGTACAGCAAACAGCTGGAATAAAAGGTCAAGTGAGTGCATTTTTACCCCTGAACATAGGGTGAACATTAGAGAGTAAAATTATCCAGGAAAAGCTTTATTACTACCAATGAGAACCACTAGAAGGTCTTTGTGTGAACTCAACAGTACATCTATTTGTATGAGTAATGAGAAGGTCACAGAAGGGCTTACTGGCTTGGCTTACTGGATGATCTAGTGGTTAGGATTCAGCTCTCCCGCTGCCATGGCCCAAGTTGGATTTCTGGTCAGGGAAGACTTTCTTTTGACATCTGTGGTGGTGAATGCACAGAATGCCAGAAACTCAGAATGCTGAGCCAGTGGGAATAACAACTTGAAGCCAAGCTTCAACAACTAAGAAATAGTCTCTCTCCAAAACAAAACAATTTATAAAACAACAAAAAATGTCTCAGAGAAGCTATTTATCCTAATACTCAACTTGGAATATTGAAGTTGTTTCTGATCGTCAAAGACTATGAACATTGCTTTGGTGAGCAACTTAAAGAGTGTCCAAGAATTGGTTGGACATGAGACTTTGCATCAGATGTATGCACATGTGGTGTCATGGTTTCCAAGTTTCCAGGTCCTTTGGAGTGCCAGACATAATTATCTGCCTCCATGAAGAGTGCCTTGGCTAAGGACAATTTTGCTCAATAAAGTAGAATCAGAGGAGACCTGTGCTACATCTAATTTGTGCTACAAATTAGCATGATAATTTGAATAACTGCTACTTTTCTTCTCCCATGCATATTTCCTTTTGCAGGATGACAATATTATTCCAATGAGTGATTCTGTATTGAGTTAGTGAAAGAATGAAATGAACACATGAAGAATCACCATTCATTTCATGTGGTAGAAAACCTTTGTGACCAAGAATTTTGCCATGTTATTTGACATCAAGAGTTGCAACTGTGTTCATCCAGAATGAGAGAGACTATTGGGTCTGATAACAAAATAAAATTGCTAAGAATATGTATCTCAATGCTAACTGAGAATGTGTCTTCCATGGTTGTCTGATTCAATATGATGCTCTACTTGTTCCACAACAGGATGGTCAAGAAGAGTGATTTTAGGCGACATAGATGCAAACACAACTGGAAAATGGATCGTCCTAATCATCAGTGTGGGAAACAGTGTCCTAAGTAATATAAGGCTCTTCTCAGACTGTCACCCATATTAGCCTCTGAAGAGTTGCTCAATTGACCATGCACAGGAATATTCTTTGCAATTAAACATGGATTCGTTGGCAGGGTAGATTACATATTATGCCTCAAAACAAGTCTTCAGAAATTGAAAAAGAGGGGGTTATAATCTAATTCTAAGAGGGTAGTTGTCCTCTTGTGGTACAATCATGGTCATTGCTATCTCTCTTAGAAATAATGTGTGCTATCATGCATACATTATTGTCAAACCAGAAAATCCTAAAAGGTTGCTTTGGTGGTGCACATCTGTAATTCCAATCACTTGGCAGGCTGAGGAAGAAGGATCACAAATTCAAAGGCAGCCTCTGCAACTTAGCAAGGACCTAAGAAACTTAGCAAAACATTCTCTAAAAAAAAGGTTGGTGTTGGTGCTATGGCTCAGTGATAAAGTCCCTCTGGGTTAAATCCCTGATACCAATAAAACAAAACAGGGAAAAAAAAATCAATGCCCATCTGAGGGTTTGTTTGTTTTTTTGTTTGTTCGTATGTTTGAGTAGTATGGTCATGTAGAGCTGGTTGAATATCTGCCTGACCGACCTTATTTCCAGTGAAGTATTTATAAAGTAAACATACTAAAGTTAGAAAGAAAAGAAAACTTAATCCTCTAAATTTGAGCATTTCCTCTTTTTTAACACTGTAGAATAAGTTACTAAAATAATTTTTTTTCTCAAGCATTTTCTACATTCAATGAGAAGCTCAAAATCAACAACCTTATGCCTCAAAACAAGTCAGTCATGAAAATAAATTTTTTACCTCCATCAAAATACTCATGAGTGAGTTCCCATGTTTATTTATTTTTATTTGGTAAATGTACTTATGAAAGAAAGAACTGAATCCTTTAAAGGAGAAATATTGAAAGAAAAAAAAAGGTAAAGAAAGAAGATACAGGGAGGAAAAAACAAGAGGGGATGGCAGGTCCTGTGGAAGGACACCAAACCAATGATGCTATGTACACAAAGCAATATATCACAGTGAATCCCAATTTTATTAATAATTTTAAGGCAGCAAGGTAAAGAAAAAAGTAAAAGGATCAGTAGAGAAAAAAGCTTAGAGGAGGGTGTAAGTGAGGGAAAGATAATACTGGGGAATTAATTTGATGATGAAAATATATTTCCTGTATGTAATATTATATGTACCATGAATCCCACTATTATCATACAATTATAATAAACCAATGAGGCATTATACAAAATAAATACAAGTATGTTAATGATAAAAATTTCAGACAAGAATAAGAACATGAACATGCAACACAAAAACTGAATTGCACACAACTGTGAATGATTTCAACAAATAAATAAACAAAAACAGATAAATAGATATAAATAGGAATGCTCAAAGAAAACTCGAGTTACAAATGAGAGAGCATCCTGGTAATATGGCCAGAATATCATACACATTATTCTACAGTTCATCATGAAATGAGAACTTTTAGCTTTAGGTCAAACATCCTCCAGTGGGCACTGTAGATATTCCTAGAAAACTGGTAGATACTCAAGTGGTTTAGCTTTATTGGATCATGAACAGTTGCTCAGTGGACCATGCACAATACTAGAGAAACTACTTCTTCCCATGAGAAAAATCATAGTAAACAGCCACCCTGGGTTTTCCTCTGAAAATCTAAGTGCTCTGAGGACTGAGGACCATGTTTTGGAAATTGATAGTAAAGGGCTCATATTTATATAGTTCACCACACAAATATGCCCCCTTCATTCATGCATTTTAGTAAGAAATCATGGGTCATTAGAAAATCTGGCCTAATCTTTAGTGCAAGTGAATCTTTCCAAAATGCATACCACACTCTGGATTTGCTTCTTTCTTCTCCTCAGTGTTCAGATTCTAGCTGTTGTAGTGGCCTCGTGCTGTCCTTCCTCCATCTAGACATGTTTTGTTTGTGTTTTAGGGTCCACTTTTAGATTGTGGGACTCAGGAACCCTCTCTGACGACTTGCTCAGGGGTGACAGTCACTCTCATCTGTGGCTCCAGAACAGTTTTGGTCACCAATGATCACTTCCTATATGGGTTGCAGCAGAAGTCAAGCCAAGTGCCCAGGACACAGATTCAAACAGAAACAGCAGACACTCATGGTCACCTCCTCTGTTCTCAGGCTCCCTTACTTTGGGCAAAGCTGCCTGATCCTCTCAGGTGCACAGCCAGAGGGTGTAACAAGTTCAATGTGTGATATAT